GTCCCCACAAAGCTGGCTAGAAGAATCTGGAGAGGGGGCTGCTCTTCTCTGCTCCCTTCATCTTTTCCTTTCACTCTCTTTTCCCCTCCCTTCAGATTGTTTCTTCTCCTTTGCTCATTTCTTTCCCCCCAATTCTTCTCTTAGCTTCCCTTCATAGCTGTCAATTTCAGCTCTCTCTTACTCTTTCACTTGGTCTTTTCTTTCTTTCCATGACCTCCTGTCCCTTCCAGTCCAGCTTTGAGGATACCATTCTTCTGGGGAGAAGTCAGGGGAAGAACATCTTTATGAGCCCTCTGATTTCCTTCAGGTGTCAAGCCCTTTCCTACTTCCTCCAAAGAAACATCTTTCAATTTTTGATGGAATGTATCCCTATTTTCAGTGAAAATTTGTGGAGGGGACTAATACTGGGCTATCTAAAGGGTCAACCTTCCACTTTTCTCAATGGGCATTACATGTAGGGAGCTGTTCTTAGACTGGATTTTCTGGCTGTGGGCATGGGGATGGGAGGGTGTGCAGGGCAGTGTGTCTGCTATTTCAAGGAGCAGGAAAGGGCTTCAGGCAGGAGGAGAGGCTGGTGGAAGGAAGGACAGCTAGCTCCCTAAGTCTGCACCTCTTCCCCTGCAGTGCCTCACTCCCTGTACCCTTTTTTGGACCTGACCTGAATCCTCATTAGCTTCCTAATCATGAAGTCTCTGTCCCACCCCTTGTGGCTGAGGAGAGAGGCCAGGTCTTCAGAGAGGGGTCAGTCTGAGGTGAAGTTGGATTGGGGTGTATAGCAGGACCTGATTTGAAATTTTTTATTGTTACAGCTCTTGCATCCCTTTTCCTGCTTCTCTACTGCTCACTTGGGGCTGCCACTAGCCTCTCACCCTCCTGGTTCCGCTGGCCGGGCCAGGAGAGGACAGGGATGGCAGTCCCAGAGGGCCCCAGAAAACCCTTGTATATAATGGGCTGGGACTACTCTGAGTGATCTCTGAGCACTTAGCTCCTGAGTCCCATTCTTCCCAGATGGAGAAGGGGTGCAGGGATGGGGGCACAGAAGGGATTTCCTTCCCTCCTTCCTCCTGTTGTGAATTATCTCACTTATCTCCCTTCCCCTCCAGACCACCAGCCAGGGAGGGGAGAAGAAGGAGGTCACAGCCAAGAACACTGACCGGTGACAACTTCCCTCCTTCCCACCGTCGACGTGAGCCATCTTGAAATGTCTGTACAACAGAAACCAAACCAAATGGGCAAACCCCCACCCTTACCCCCTTTTGCTGGGGGCGGGTAGGGGGTGGTGGGAAGAAAGGATGTCTGTCTGTCGATCCCCCTCCCTCTTTCTACTCCTTACTCTCATAGGCAGAAGACTGTTACACTAGGGGGCTCAGATAATTCAATCCCACCCTTACTAATTGAGCCAAACCTAGAAAAAAACGCAAAATACACGTAGCGAGAGACAAAACAGAGGAGAGAATGAGAGGCGTGAGGGAGTGAGATAGGCAACCAACACAGAGGAAAGAAAACAAAAATAGCAAAAAAAAAAACAAAAAAACACAAAAAAAATTTTAAAGCAGTTCTTTATAATTTAATATTCTATTTTAATAAAGGCGTTTATTACCGTATAAATGTAGCAAAGAACCTGGGCTAATATGAAAAAAAAAAAGACTTTTTATTAGGTAATTTATTATATGAAAAGGATATTTTATTTTATGATAAAGTGATCCTTAAAAAAATAAAAAAACTTTAGAAGGTTTAGAATATATGTAGGGAGAGAAAAAGAAGAAAAAATACATTTGTATTCAGAGTTAAATCTTAAAAAAGTGTTTTTAATATATGTTCGGGTTTACGTTCCTTTTTCCCCCCACTTTTTTTTGGGGAGGAATGTCATTTGCTTTTCTGTGGGGAGCATCCTGGGATGGATGGTGAGAGGGGCTGGGGGAACCTGGTCCCTTCTGGGGCCCTCTGAATAGATTGGATTTCACTCCATGGGCTTCCCCTCCCCTCCTCCCCTCCCCCTCGGGGGAGCTGGCAGAGCCAAACAAAGAAAAGGATTAACAAGAAAGGAAGAAGCTGAGGACTGAGAATCCTGGGGTGTCCCCCCCCCTTCCCCTGCCCAGTCCCAGGGGTGAGTGAGGAGGGGAAGCTGAGAACTGAGGCCCAGCAGGCCCATGGGAACCCTCAGAGAGGTGTGAGATTTAAGAGAAATAGATTTTTTTTAACCAAAAAATGAGAGAGAAAGAGAAGAAAAAGAAACCGAGGGGTTTAAAAGAAAAGAATACTACAAATAATAATTATTAATAATAATAATAATTCAAATTTATTTCATATAATCCTAGAGAAAGAGAGAGAAAGAATTACTAGTTACTTAGTAGACAATATTCAGATAGCTTAAAGTTTAGTAGCATTGAGGGCCCCTGGGTCCAGTAGAATGTATAAAAGTCGTAACGAAAAGGAAAATAGAGGAGGGAAGTGGCTGAGTCGACCCTGAGTTACCCCATTTTTAGATACCAGGGTGGAAGCAGGTTGCAAGTTAAGGTTGTCAGCTTCCAGTCTGCTGGAATTGATTTTGAGAATCCTTGGATTTTTAAATTGTAGGAGAAATAGAAGAGGAGCTCAGTTCTGAAGGTCTTTGAAAGTGTGGTTGTTCAATAGACTTAAGCAGATGGGGGGCCTGGACTAAGGGCAACAGAAGAGGCCTTGACCATTCTGTCCATCTCTCTGCCTCTGTTGTGCCCTCCATCACCTGGGGCTTTTAGGGAGGATGGAGACTGGCTCAAATCCTCCTAAGTCAGCTTCTCAGGCCCAACTGAGGAAGTCCTTCTTAAAGTCTAACCTCAACCCACTCATTGCAGATTTGAAAGCCTAGTAGGTCAATTCCCAAACAGACACACATACGTACTACTTTACCTTCTCAGACCTTTAGGAGGACTGAGAAGATACATCTCTCATCCTTATTCCTACCCAACATATTCCACTTTGTTTTCTCCTTCCAAAGCAGCAGTGGAAGTAGCATTCTCAATAAATGTCCTTTAAAGCTATACTGTGCTTCACAGGTTAGCCAAGTGCTTTATTGTCTCATTGATGTTAGATTCCAAGAAGGACTTCCTATCCCAGGTGATTAAAGGGGCGATACCATCCTAGAAGATCTGGAGAACTGGTCCCCCAGGGTACAGAGGCAGGGGGAGGGCAGCAGTGACCTTGGGTGACCCCTACCCTAACCCTCTGTGCTCCAATCTTGTGTTCAGGTAGGGGTCATGCACCTTGCCCTGGCTTGGGGGCACATTGTCCTTCTCACAGACAATTGGGGAACATGTGAGAAATCAAGTTTTTTAAGCACTTGCCTTTTTACCAACCCCTGCTAGCAGTCAAGTGGGGTCCATCCCTCCTATCCAAGTTGGGTGGGAGGCCCCTTGGCTCTCCTTTTGGTAAGAGGGATGGGGCCAGTTTCATTACACCAAGGACTGTCATGTTCCTAGACCCCAAACACCCTTCTCCCTAATTTACTCTTTTCATCCCACCTAGGGACAGATTTCCCCTCTGCTCTATTTGTCCTAGAAACCCCCCTAGTTTGGAATGGTAGCACCCAGGGTGGGGAGGGGATTTCCCTCCCCCCATCCCTGCTTGAGGGTACTGTATGGGTGGGGTAGGGTGGGTTTGGGGGAGACAGCCCTGGGGCAGGAGGAATGGTCTCTCCACTGTAGAAAGTAGAGTAGGATTGTGGTCAGACTTAAATTGAGGCATCTAGTGAAGACACATACAAATCTGCTGAGGAGAAAAAGATTTCAAAAGCAAAATAAAAGGCGGGAAATAAACCTACCCATGAATAATCAAGTCAAAGTGATGTTGCACAAAATGCAGACAAACCAAGGAGGGGAAGGGTTAATGTATTAAATGTGCTATTCAGAACTTAATTTTATTAAAAGTATTATTACTTAAAGTTCGGCCTTTTTTCTCTAGCTTATGGGATGGGACCATCTTGGGGTGAATTAGAACCTTTGTGGGAATTGTCACTTGAGATTTTCTTTACTTTGATTCTGGGCATCCCTGCACACCTTACAGGAAGGCAAGGTCTTCAGAACATCCTCTTTCTACAGCTTCCTGCTTGAGCCTGCAAGCACTCAGTCTCCTCTCTTCTCCCCATTTTCTCCCTTCTCCTCGTTGGGGGGCAATTGACCTGCCACCCTGACCTACAGACAGGGTGATTAAGACCCTGCTTGAGCAGCTATCTCTTGGGCTTGGTGGAGAAGGGACCACAAAGACACACACACACACTCATTCCCACCAGACCCTTCAATGTATCCCTCTTGGGAGACAGGAAGGAAACAATGTCAAACTTGGGCATCCTACCTTCCAGGTTTTACCCTACCCCTCCCTCTAGTACACACAAGACAGGCCCTGTAGGAGGCCCTGATGCCCCTTCAACCTAACATCTCCCCCTGCATCCTCCCCTTGCCCCTAGCATTGGAGTGACCTCAGTTCTTGGCACCAGGGCCCTGGGCACCAGATGGTTCCCGCCGATGCTGTTTCCTTTGTCTAGCCTCCCAGATATCCCCTCCTCCGTGTTGCCCCCCTCCCCCACCTGCCCTGGGGGTTGGCAGAGGGAAGGGCGGGCACCTCCCACCCCCTTGGCACTCTCCCCAGACCACAGGGCTCCCTGAGGCAGCTGGCCCTGGGGTATAGTGGGTTTGAAGGAGAAGACTAGTGGAAGGGGAACAGGACTGAGGAGAGCCAAAACTGAAGCGGAGGCACCAACTGGAGGAGAAGGAGGAACAGAAGGAGGAAGCAAGATGGCCAGGCATCAATACAAAACAATTTTATTTTAGGGCCTAGACTGTGAGGATAAGGACAGATAATAGAGATGTGTGTGGTGGGGCACAAAGATTTCAGAGCTTTAAGGGGGCTATGGACCAGAAGTGGACACTGACATCCAAAAGCAAAGGGCAAGATAAGGTCCTGGGGCTTGGGGGCAGAAGTGGTTACCAGAATGCCGGTGGGGGCAAGGTTTGTGCTGAGCAAGATCAGAGGTTGATGCAACAGGCCCTTTTCTCCCCAGATCCTGGCTCCTGTCTGCCCAGGGTGATGGTATTGGTCCGAGTGTCGTTCTGTCTCTGCTTGGACACCTTTGCAAAGATCTCTGAGTGGGAAAAGGGCAATGATCACGCCAAGGAAAAACTGTAGAGCCCACACTGAGCACCCCCCCACACACACCCGTGCTCCACACCCCTTTCGTTATTGGCACTGGGGTAGCCACACTTAAAGGAGGTTTTGCTGGAAAGAAGTGGGGTTAGAGTACCTGGGCCCTTTCTACTTACTTGGTAAGAGGGCCTGAGGCGGGTAGGCAGTGGTACCCAGAGGCCCTGAGGAGGCTAGGGGCCCAGAGAGGGACTAGGAATCAGCTGGGTCCAGGGTTGGGGCCATGGGGAAGAATGGGGGTACCAAATGAAGACAATGGCTCTAACCTTTGAGGACAGTCTCAAAGGCCAGTTCAACATTGGTGGAGTCCAGGGCTGAGGTCTCCAGGAATAGCAGCCCATTGTTTTCTGGCAGGAAGGGAAACATACCATTAATTGAGAAATACAAAAGCAATAATGTTTGCTTAAGGTTTACTAAGTGCCAGATACTGTACTAAATCCTTGGCATGAAGTAGCTAATTTAATCATTAAAACAACCTTTGAGGTAGGTAAGATCATTACATCTCTTTTATAAAAGAAAAAAGGGAAGCCTAGAAAGAGGGAATGTGTAAGGAACTTACAAGGTGAGATGTGAGGCCAGGCCATGGGGCTCTAAAGTCTGTGCTGCCTCTAAACCCCAGAAAATTCCTGGAGAAAATGTGACTGGAACTGTCCAAGAGGAGCCCACCTCTACACTTAGGATCTCCAAGCATTGCAAGGTAAAGCTGTCTTAAAATCCACTATAAATAATTACCCTTGAACAGAATCACAGGGCAAAGGTGGGACATAGCGGGAGACACAGGACTTGGAGGGGAAGCACTGAGAGACAGCTCTGAGGGAGAGGAGGTGGAGGTAGGGGAACCCAATGCAAGAAGACCAGGTTGGAAGCCCTGGGGATGGGGTAGGGGTTGGAGAGGCTGGAGCTGGGAGCTTGTGGGAGAAACTGGAGGAATCTGACTGGGTCATAGTAGGTTCTCACCGGCAAACATGCGGGCCTCCTCAGTGGGCACTTCCCGGGCCTGGCTGAGATCACTCTTGTTGCCCACGAGCATGACAACTATGGTGGCCTCTGCATGGTCGTAGAGCTCCTTTAGCCAGCGCTCCACCACTGCGTACGTTTGGTGCTTGGTTAGGTCAAATACCAGTAGAGCCCCCACAGCACCACGATAGTACCTAGGCAAGGGGTAAGGGTGGACAGAGAGGCAAGATTAGGACCATGAGGCTCAGCCTCAGAGAGGAGCCATCAAATCAAAGTACTAGAGAAGCCAAACCCCAGCAGGGCAGCCCAAGGTTCTGGTGCCTCTCAGAGCCCTCTTAGAGCCTCCACAGCAACCTCACCTTTCCTTCTTCTCTGCTCAGTTCTTTTGTTCTGATTTTAGCCCTTACTATTCACTGTGGGTTAAGGAGCTCTGGTAGCGTAGCGATTACAAACCGGGCCAGCAGTTCGAAACTACTAGCTGTTCTGTGGGAAAAAGATGAGGCTTTCTGCTTCCGTAAAGATTTACAGCCTCGGAAACTCTATACAGGGTCGCTATGAGTTGGAACTGACTCCACCGCAAATAACAACAACGACATTCACTGTGGGTTAATGCTCCAGACTGCAAAGCCATTTGAACTGCAAGGTTGGAGGTTTAAGCTCAGCAGCTGCTCCTCAGAAACCCTATACAGGATCACTATGGGTTGGAACTGACTCAACGGCACTTAACAACAACAACATTCACTAATGAAAGGAGCCATGGTAACACTGCGGGTTAGCCATTGGGCTGCTAACTTCCAGGTCGGCAATTCAAATCCCTTAGCTGCTCTGTGGGAGAAATATAAGGCTGTCTGCTCTGTAAAGATTTCAGCCTTGCAAACCCTATGGAGCAGTTCTACTCTGTCTTATGAGTTGGAATTGACTCCGTGCTTATGTAAACTCTGGCCAAGTCTACCTCTTGGATGCACCCCCTCTGAGATCTTCATCCCAATGGCTCCTTGACCCACACACCTCTTCTCTCTTGTGGCCAGCTAATGCTTACTTCTTTCTAGTTCTAACTAAATGTCTACCCTACACAGCAGCCCCTGACCTGACCATCTCTGGGCTCCTTCAGACTGATGGTGGTGGTGGTGGTAGTGTGCCATGGAGTCAGTTCTAATTCATATCAATCTGTAAATCTTTATGGGAACAGAAAGCATCTTTCTCCTGTGGAACAGCTGGTAGTTTTGAACTGCTGACCTTGAAGTTAGCAGCCTGACTCATAACCACTATGCTACCAGAGCTCCTTACCACCAGCTCATACTGATGGCATCTAATTATTCCCATTTCATTGATGAGGCAACTGAGGCTCCTAAGTGATCAGTTGACCAGTCTAAGAGTATGTAACTGAAGCCCCTTGCTTCCTGCCTCCCTGAGAAGTGCTCTCCCCTATTGCAAACACTCAGACCACCCTTCACACAATTTGACTTGAAGCTGCCAGGAAGACAATCTGGATGAGGCTTCACTGCCAGGGTCTTGCTGCTTTGTAAACTGGAGCTGTCACTCTAGTCCTCGGTGTTTGTGGTCAGATGGTGAAGGCTGCCAAGTACAAAGCACTGTGCAGAGGTGAGGGGTGCTGTCGACCAACAGAGCTTGCTCTCATCCCAGCTCCTGACTGCCTGTTTCAACCTCTAGTTTCTTATGTTTAAGTGGATTAATTATAGCACTGTAACTCCTGGTAGTACTTTGAGGATTACATAAAATGACAAATACAAAGTGCCTTATACCTTCCCGGGCACATTGTAAGTGGTGGCAATGATTCGTGGTTTCAGGCCTAGTAGTTTGTTAGTAGCACTATATTCTGTCTTGGGCTGTTTGCTTCTCACAATACTGGGCCTTGAATTCTTTGAGGGAGGTGGCTCACCCAGAGAGGCACTAGTGAGTTCCCATGACGCCTTCTTCTCCTCCACCTTCCTCTAGATATATTCCCTGATTTCCCCAGCATCCCATACCCTCATGGCCCCCCAGGCCCAGGCTCACGCTGAAGTGATGGCTCGGTACCGCTCCAGGCCAGCTGTGTCCCAGATCTGAGCCTTGACTGCGGCAGTGCCCAGCATCACAGTGCGGGTGGAGAACTCAACCCCAATGGTGGTGCGGCTGTCGTGGCTGAACTCATTGCGGGTGAATCGGGATAGCAGATTGGTCTTGCCCACTCCTGACTCGCCAATCAGCACCACTGAAGGGGTGGAGAGAGAAAGGTTAAACATGGGGCAGAGTAGCTTCAAGTCCAAGCACAAGGAGCTGGGCTCTGAAACTGAAGAGGGAGCCAGAGCTCCTGGCAGGGGCTAGGGTCAGCTCTGCAACTCTGAAGGAGGCCAAAGGACCAGTTGTTTGGAGCAAGTTCAGGAGACATGATGTTTACATGCCCAGTGAAGGAGGCTTCCTGCAGAGCCTCTGCAATACATAAGACTATAGGTGGAAGCCTGAACCACATCCAGATCTCCAGAGATGGGAA